TATCAGCCCCCAAAGACGTTCCTGTCTGTGAGCGAAAAAGGATCCTCCCGCCTGATTTCAAATAGTGACAAAATCTGGGAACTATATAGATATACAATAGGAAAATGCGGCAAAGCGAACATTGCCAGCTAACAACAGGCTTAGATCCTGTGTTCGAATTTTGTATTGATCACATCAGGGCCGAATATGATGACAATGGTGTGATGACTGGAAAACAACGGTTCAATAATCAGAGAGTAAAACATTCAAACAGACGTCTATCTACACAGTAATAACGTGTATTCTCTCAATTTAGTCCTAAGGGTAACGTTTCTTATCCGGGTAGGCAAACTGCTAATAGGCAAACGTCGTTTACCATAGACATTCTTGACTCAGGAAAAAAAACTCTAAGGAGAAGCATAAATAGTCCTATTCCAGATGGGGTATAGGTGTGATAGGTACAGTCATGACATAAAAAGTCAGATAATCCCCAATTTTTATCAGAATTTTTACGATTTTTCTGAAGTCCAGGGCATTGTGTATGTCTAGCGGTCAGAAATAGATATGATCAAAAATGTACATCTGGATTGCGCTTTAGAAGACTAACAAACTCACCTGTAGAAACATATACGGCAATAAGGTGCGTTAGAAGAATAGAAACATACTCTTTTTCCCATTCAGAATGCGCATGTTTTCAATGATACGACACGTTAACTAGATAGTACCGGCGAACTAGGAAGACTACTACATACGGAAATCAATATGATCAGTTGTAGGCCGGGCGTTTTGTAAATGAGTTGACTAACGATGCAAAGATGACGATAGTTACAGATGGATCTACCACAGTGAGACGATGACGTCGCCAATAGCAACATCCTAACACAGATGCAACATAATAGAAAATAGCTATAAGACAATTTTTAAATATAACTTCAGGTCGTTTCAACTAAATAATGTGTTGCATTCGATATTCAGGCTAAGAATAAGGGCGGCTATAAAATATGTACGTAGATCTGATCTCATGATCACCTAAGCCATACTCGTCTCTCTCTATATATAAATAAATTACGTATAGTATTCAAGGTGCTATGTGAAACTACGTACGCACTAGGATTGGGATTGTTTACATAGATCCGTGTGATTTATGTGCGGTCACGCGAAAGGCTGAACTCCACAGGTAAATTATTAGTCGTTTGGCCTCCATTGAAACTTGCTGAACAACTAGTGTGTCTGTGTGTCATATTATATTCCAGTATGAATAGCGAGAATAGAAGATACCATCTGTTCCAGCTGGCGATGTCCTACAACTCAGCATGTACCTTAAGCACAGGGATATGTTCATAGTTCTTCTTTAGGCAAACCTTTTCAAGTCACTTAGACGGACCGTAGTATCTGGAACTAGGCGTTATGAGGAAAAACACGAACAAGTCTACCATAGAATATGATTATTTATAAATCTTTATTTAAAAAGCAGTACACTTATTGATGTTCACGAAGTGCTTGCCTAGTGGCAACACAGCCGTCTTCTACCGAATCTAAACTCGTTTCTTGCTTCAAAATTGGACTATAGTCAATTTCGAACAACCTTACCGACATAATTAAACGAGAAGACATTCACCTGACCCTAATAAATCAGCTGAATAAATAAAATGAAGCCGGTCCTTTGATTAGGACACTGCACATACGACAAATGTTACCAACTTTTTGCCTCGAATACGTGCTCACAAGGGAATAGAATGAAAGGATGGTTTGAACGCAACGGTTTGATTTTTGTTTTTGCTTCCAGCAGCTACATTTGTTCGATTTTTAGCAGATTTATGCGGATCCTTATTTTTGGTTGTTCAAAGTGACATCTCTCCAAATGCTTTAGACCTTCATTTACGATACATTGAGGCTTCTCTAGCAGTATATTTTTGGCAAGAATCGTATGCGCTCTTGTGTCTGCTAAGCCTATCGTTCATGGGTTGTCCTAAGTACGACTTCAGACACAGGTTCCCTCGATTGCAATTTTTCTTTGATGTTGCAGTGCTGTTAATGCAAGTCGCGTGACTGAACTCAATTTGTCGCTTTAGCCTAGGAATCGAAGAGCTAGATTAGGTTGTCCTTCAGGACCCGTAGGGTTCTGTCCGGGTCCACGTAAAGCTGCTCGCCCAATTAAAGGATTTTTTACAATGATCTAAGAGACGCCCATTGCCGGCCACTGTAGAGGTGCTATTGGCGATTATCGCGCGGCTACTAATGAACTAGCGTAGACCTAATTGATAGGTCGGAGCTGGGGGCCTGCCTAATGAGTTCAGTTATTGCGGCTATCTTTGCCTGATTATGACATTTAATGAAGAAAGATTTTAATCTGTGCTGTATTTCGAACTCGCTCACTTAAGGAAAAAGTTATCTTGTTTTTGGGTTCGAAGATTTCCGACTTCTTTTGGATTTAGGGTCTCTACCCTATCAATTTTGGAGACTTCGCTTAGGTCATATTTTAGAAATGATTTTACGTATTCTTTTAACAAATGAGTGAACATTGATAATAATAATAATAATAAGCACTGAGTGCTGATACAGTTAGATAATCTATTGGTATCTTCGTACAACAACTTCGTACAATCGTAACAAGTGCTTTAATATCCATATGTTTCGCTAACTTATCCCTTAAACATCGCTTAAGGACATCGAAGATTCACAAATTCCGGACTTGATTTTTTTCCAATAAGATCGAAAAAAATGGACGATCTATGTAGAGTATTATAAAACGTAATAGCAGAATGCACTGGCCGTAGACTGCAGGGACTCCAAAGTTGACATCCAGGCTGCAGAAGCGAGCTGGTTCAGATGAACAGTTATGTAAGGATTAACATTACAGTATAGGATAGAAAAAAGACGACGCCTTGTTTACTGTCCTTATTTTTGTAGCTCTTTTAAGGTATCTACAGCACTGGGTCTGCTTTCTCCAGTCTCGATTTGTGGATGAGTGGCCATAACCTGCGCCTCGTTACTTCGCAAGTGATCCTCATGAATTCTGTAAGTAGAAAATAGTTTTCAGTGAGAACTTTATGCATCGTGTGTGATGCGGATCCACCAAGCAATAATATGCCATCCTTGCCTTAATTTGACGCGCAATGGCGTAAGATGCTGTAGACTACCAGATTATCTATGAAGCTGCGCCAACCTAATCTAATTAAAAACAAATATTGTCACAATTTGCTTTCGTTCATTTGCACCAAAACTATGAGAGTGATTATTTATTAAATATCGGTATCGGTATTAAGGCAAATTTTTAAGGAACACATATAGGAAACTCTGCGTGGGGTAAAATACACTGCATGTGAAGAGGCTCATCGCCTGCTTTCATCCAACCCTATTGATTTTGCCAATGGCTGATCTGAGTGGCAGAATCATTAAGACGTTTTGGTCGGCCAGGCAAATACGTTTTTATTCATGTAAATATAGAAAGATACTAGGTAGTGTACTTTGATCGTCCTAGTAACCGTATCTATGGCCAAATAATGGCCTAAACAAGATGGACCAAGTCTCCCTAGAAAACGCACCAATAACAAATTCTTGAAGTTCAGTTTTAACAATTACAATTCATTCTATTTGTATTCACTGTGCTTGATAATAAGCGGCTCTATATTACGCACTGCCTGTTTTTATATAACAGGTTCAATGTAAAATCATTTGTGCATTTGTTTTTATCTATCACAGGTGAGCTGTTCGTGGTTACTGACACATATTTAGTATTGCCATAATTTTCTTAAGGATGGTGGACGTGAACCCCAAAGAGGAGGTACCTCTAGAGTTTAAACGATTTTTAATACCTCAGCGTGTGAACCGCTTTTCTGCACGCCTATTTTGTCGATCTTTATGTTTCTTTATTTTATTTTTTTTAATGTACATCTGAAACGGAGAAAAGCTTAATTTTATTAAAACCGTTCAGTCGGTTCTAAACAAGCGAATGTTTGAAAGGCGAATTTTCTTATAGGCTCAGGATGTTTTTATAATTTTAATATAACAGTATAAATTGCTATCCAAAAGCGCTGCTAGGCTAATATAAGGTTATTAGGTTATCATAGTACCTGTTAGTGCTCATTTATGGCATAAACTTACGTATCCGTCTATGTGTGTGTGTGTGTGTGTGTGTGTGCGATACGGCGAATGACAGAATCAAACCAGGAAAGAGCAAACTGTGCCACTGGCCTTTGATAACCTTATCTCTTAACATTCTATTTTATTTAATTTGCTAAGACGCTACTGCTAGCAAGAGCGACAGGCCCATCGTGGTCAAGGGTCCTGCTTAGGTGTCGCTTTCACTTAGGTTGCCTTTTTTTCGGTTTTTCCATTTTATACGATATGTGGCTTGTCAAGCGTCTTAGCACCTATCTAGTGTGCTGTCATACCAACGTTTCCGTAAGGCCAACTAGGTATTACCGAAAGGGTGGACCAGCCAAGGGATACCAATGTGTTCTCGAAAATACATAAGTGGACGATACCTTTCCGAGTACTGATGCTTCGCTTCGAAGAAAAATTGAATAAAAACTGTTTGCTCACTGAAGGCACTGGTATTATTCAGTAGTTCGTTTTCATTTTATTCAGCGGTCGCTCGACAAGTTCGAACGTAGTCTATCAAAATACAAAACAGAAGAAGTTATTCGTTGAAGTTTGGCATGCTAGTTATTTCAAATAGGTTCGTACAAATCCAATATTAGTCCACTAGATCGACACGTGTACTCCAGATTAATTATTTTTTATATTTATATATTTTTTTTTTGCTTGATTATCATCGAAATAGTACGATAAGTGCGCACGTATGTAGAATAAAGCACACGTTTTGGAAACGTCCGGTTATCTGGTCGGCACGAGTGGATACGCACTGTTCAAAGAGTCCCACCGCCGTTGACGAACACTGCGTTATCTCTTCATCGGTGAACCCTCGAGAAGAATCTCTCCATTTGTATCGAGGGACGTCTCCACTGGTGGTGTGGAATTCTGCGAGAGGGTACATTATACCACATAATGATGTGACGGGTGATTTCGTAGCATTCGATAAAGAGTCAGAAACAGTTATATATGATTGACGAGTACGGTGAAGCTAGGGCTCAGGTCTGTGTTAACTATTCGTGATTTAAAAAAGACGGCGGTTTTCGTGAATAATTACGCGACGGAAACAGCGCGGTACCCCATTTGATTCATGGGATGGGCTTGTTTACGAACTAGTAGAAATTGTGTTCTGTCGATGCCGTCCAATTCATGTCGACGAGTCCGTTGTGTCAAGTGCAAGTTGTCAAGCGTTTATAAGAACGTACGTGAAAAATGAAACAGTTTGGATTAATTTATATACCTATAAATCACAACTTAACTTATATTCGTTGCAGTGTATTGATATGAGGTATATAGGTCTAGCTCTAATCTTCAAGCTTTTTAAAATCAAAGGACATTATATTATTTTATACTATTATAAAAAAAAAAAGAAAAAATTTTACTTACACGCGTAAACCGTAAACGTAAAGACTACGCGTAGACGTAGTTAGACCATCCCGGAAGACCCTTCAATAAAAGTTACATCGTCAAAATTGACTCTATCATATACGGGTCAGCCGATGGGAATTTTAATTACTGTTAGTTATTAAACTATTTTTAATATTTATTTAATTGTAGTTTAACTAGTCGTTTAAATAAATTCATACTCTTGATTGAATTGATTTAAACGATTTGACGACAGTTATCTATTTTTTCTTAGCTGAATTATGATGCACATGTAACTTCCTAGCTGTTTTCGGCGTTACACGTAGGCCACAAATCCAACAACTTTGCGTTCCTTGCTTTACTTATACGTTGAATATGGAACTGGCAAGGAACCTAGTGAACAGTGTAATATATATATATATATATGGATGCTGTGAAAGCAGTTAAACATTTGACATATTGTGTTGTATTTCAGAATCCAGGTCTCGTTAGCTAGTTACGAGAAGTAGAAAGCGCCAGCAGCAACAATATGTCTAAGAAGTTATCACTGGCGCCGTCTGTTGTATCGTCGGAAGACGACGAACCAGAGGTTCAGGAGATAACGCCTCTAAGCGATCCTGTTGCCAGTGCTGCAGTTAGTACGCAATGTGGCGACCCCCAGGAAAACGGTGCCCAGCCACTGTCAACACCAAAGGGCGACAGCCAGAATGGCAGTATAATGGTTATCGAGAAGCTACAGGTCACGGAAGCTGGCGAGAAACGATCTCGCAATTGTAAAGAGTTGAGAAGTGATGTCAGTGAAGATGGCTGCTTTTTCGGCGGAGGGATTGAGGTCGACAGCAAGAGATCGTGGCTCGTTGCGGTCATCTGCGCCTGGGTGATGTTTTGGACGTTACTTGTCAACAGAACTAGCAGGTAAATAAATTGTCTAGCTACTTTGATTGTTCTAGCGACTACTTCAATTTGAAAATAGAGGAATAATATAAAAAAAAATTGTAGATGCTATGAATTCGAGTGGGCGAGAATTATCCCGATTTGTCTATAACCCCTTGTGGTAGGCCCCAGAAATATATATATATAAAAAAAAAGGGTCCTACCTAGATATATACAAGGGTCTGGGAAGGCCATCAGTAAAACTCCGAGCATTGAATTTAGTCTGTCTTTACGGATACATTTAGCAAATAGTGAATTTTAATGAATTGCTGTTAAGTTTGCATTGTAGATATTAGAAGAGTCATGATTATGATTAATGAAAACCGATAGGTCTTGATTTTTTATTTCACATATCCTTTTCATTAGATGAAAAATGTTTTTGATTTTTGCGTATTTTATCTCTAAAACCGCATTAATCACACGTGTGTCTTTTCTGCCCAAAAACAGGTTAGCTGACTGACTAATTTAACGCTGTCATGCTAAAAGCAATTTTTCGTTGCACAAAATCAACGATAGGCTTTCATTTTTTTGATTTCAGTGTAATATTTGTTTCACTAAATGAGGAACTTGGGATGCCTAGAGAAGAGGCTGCCACTCCCTTCTCTATGCTGGGAGCTGTATCTAATATATTTGGTAAGTTATCGAACTTGTGAAGAGGAGTTCGAACGGCCAACTTCTGGGCCAGCTACGCTCACCCAGAGAATTCCGTTAATTCGAATAAAATGATTTACTGTTATGGAACATATACTATAATCATGTACGTTATTGATCATCGCATGTTTGTCAAACGGATATCGTGCTTTGACACGTGACAGAGAGTCAATATGAAGCTCTAATTTAGACAACAGAAGAGTGTGCCGACTCAAACCTAAGTAATTTTTCTAAACGTAAGACATATTTGAATATTTCAGTATTTCAAAGATGGTCGCACATCTTGACGCGTCGTGTAGGCCTACAGCAGGTTCATGACAATCCGAGATATCCAAACTGTTCGACGGATTGACTAAAGACACCACGCAATCCAGTACCGACATACGATGATACACTAGCCACATTGGTGTTGGCCTATTTTGTTAGCATTACAAAAACATTGAAAGCGATCGATTTAGGCGAAACATGAATGATATGGCGCTTCGTAACGCACCGAATTCTACTGGTGGTTTTTCTTTGCTATGCTGGTAAAGGGACAGGTCAAAGGATAACATTCGTCAATCGATCGTTAGATGGATTTCCTTATATATACATTATAGCAGTAAAAAAAGTTTCCAACAAAACAAAAACTAACAATTTCCAAAAGTATCTATTACTAGGTTTCATCTGAATTGTCTCTATCTAAAATCAGTAATTTTTACACATGTTTTTTTTTAATAGCGTGCCCCTTCCGTGCATGCGTTAGCTGTAGTGAAAGCAGACTTAGCGTCCTACCGAAGGCACAGTGGGAGTTGAGAAATAAAGGGGAACAAAGTTGCTTTATTATCGTTGTTCGCTCCACTCTTCTGTAGATTCAAATATATTATAAATAACGTCTTTCTTTATGGTTCAAGATCCATTTCGCAACACCTCGTGCTCTTCTGCTATAGGGGGTCCACGTTTAAATACACTTACTTTTGTATTTGAACGTAGACATCTGCTTCGTCTGGTGCGTTTTCGACGCTTATGTCGTGTTGCGTTTTCCTTTAATAGATATAAAGCAACGAGGAGTAAATATTGATTAGACATTGCTTCAATTGCAAGCCACTGAGTAGACGCAAATTAGAAATACGAATACTTATCGCACGAAAGTGACTAGCGGGCTGGCAAATAGGCGACGATACGTAAGGCCAATGGAATGAGTAGCTGAATATAAATTAATTTTATATACATTTTCTCTGTTTGATTCTATGCATCTGCTATGGGGATTGTTAAACGCAGCGGTTGTGAGCGGTCTGCTTATTCGATTGTTGCCATTGCCTCGGGTTAGTGCCTTAGGGACATTTCTCACGAGCTTGGGCATCGTCTTGGCGGCGTCAATCTTCAACCGGTTAGCTATCAAGTACTGCATTGGAGTTATCACGGGTAAGATAAACTATTATCTGTAGAGAAGAGAAAATGGCCGCATCGAGTATATTGATGCAGGATAGACAGATGTAATCGCTTGCTCAAAATAGTATTTTCAACATAAACAGGAGAATAAAACATCGACTTGAAAAAACACTGTGGACCTAAGGCGCAGGAGAATTCAGGCTTGTAGCGTAATCTAAAGCGGTCCATGTCACACGACCCCGTTCAGTCGTCGAACTAATTCATTATCTAAACGGTGACTTCGTCAAGCGTTTCTCTGAAGCGCTTCGAAATAGACATCTACTCATATATGTATAGATCCTATCGAGCAGTCGGAACTAATTCGTCCAGCTCATTAGTTTACGTTCGGTCAGTGCCCCGATCGTGACAACCAATCGCTCTACGCTTCGAGTTGTACATCTGGTATCGCCGTTAGACGTTCCATCAGACGCCAGTCACAATCAATTAAGCCGCCGTATACAATTCGTAATACGTTCGACGATATAGAGTTGTTAGTTAACCACCTATAATAATCCATCGTTCCAATAAAATCGTTAGCGATTAGTGAGAAATTTATAGGGGATCATAAAAACGTTTACAGAAATACGTTGCTGAAATAGTACCGGCAATGACGCGCCACAGTGCACTCTTGCTGCGCGCACTCCATAGTAGGAAATCTCCCAAAAGAGAAAATTCCTTGACAATATATATATATATGACCGAATAATCATGGCTGATTGAGCAGCTAGAAAAGTTTAAAGGCCCACTGAGCTAAACTGCGTTAGGTGGTAACGGTGTTTTAATATTTGGAGCAGACGCACTCGCCAATTATAAGAAAGCTTGACGCCAACATCATCTATAAACTTTGATTGAAACATTCCCTCCCAAACAACTTGTCGTATGTTGACTAAAGTTGGAGAAGTAATCACACCACTCAATATTTCAATTCGTGAAGGCAAATGCCTTGAGACCTTCAGAGGGACCTTAACCGTTCACTTATCTAACCTATGTATGTTATCTCCCTATTCTAACTTGAATAAAGAATTACGTTGATTAGATATACATTCATTATGGATGCTACACGTCTACATTATTTTGCTAAAGTTGGGAAACTTTAATTGTTGCAGCAATCGGACAATCGTTAATATTTCCGACAAATATGGTAGCTGTCAATACCTATTTCGAACAGCATCGTACAACCGCTTCGGGCGTCAGCTACGTTGGAGGCACCCTCGTGTCCTTTGTTATGCCAGACGTATATGAGGCACTGGTGAAGAGGTAAACGACAAATCAACAGCCATGCTCACTTCGCAGTAAAAGCTCATTTTCAAGTGACTCAATACTTTCGTTGTCCAAAGACCGCCTATGCGATAAATCCTCATCATTATGATTATGTAGATATGTAATTCTGTTTGTTTTTTATTTAGTAGACGTAGGTATACGCCTGGTTCAAGACTAAGGACCATTGGCCTACTAGCACATATTCCTGCTTCCATTTAAACAGGTTCGGTCTTCGAGTGACTCTTGCCATTATCGGAGGGTTAACTCTCAACGCGCTGATCGGAGCGTTTATTTTACAGGTTCCGGCTCGACCTAAACGAGTCGACGTCAACTTATGCAATAATAATAATACTTCTGTACTAGGTAAGCCATAATCTACAAGGGCCTCAGTTATCTTCAGCCTTATTCCTTTCCAGTGTGCCTATGTACATATATGAAATAGTTTAGTATGAAACGTAACAGTAGTAAACTCTAAGATTTCCTTTACACACAGTGCAATAGAAATGGCTTATTTATGTTTACTAATCCCGGCTTCGTAATGCGGAGCGTTTTCTTCATCTCTTAGGCTCTAGTAGACAATAGGTAAATTAGGCCAGCAACAGGCACCATCGACTCCAGCAGCTGCCACTTTTTAGGGTAACGCCTCACCGGTTCACCCGTAACCAGCTGACAACTGCTGATTTGCAGAAGGCACATTTTCAATTATAGAACGGGTCACTATTGTAACGTGAAGCAAGCTACATCGGTTTTTGATTTCCGCTTAAGGCACCCGCCATTCATCTGTCCATGGTTTCTGCCCTGACAGTTGTACGCGCATAAATTAGAAAATGGGCCAGCCTCAACCATAGCTCTCAATCCTTCTTTATTCAGATTCGTAGAAGATCATCCGCGAGACCCATTTCTCAGCCCAAGATTTTCTTGGACGCCTTGAAATAACGCTTCGTCCTCCTGGTAGTAGAGCCTTCAACAAATTCAAAGCTTGAACACTTAAACGCTACTGCAGTTGAAACGACTTGATTCTATCTTTCCTAACTCACACAACTCGCCTGCTAAAACCCCGAATGACGATATCCAAGTGAACAGCCTCAGATTTTAAAAATTACGAACGCATTGCGAATTCAAAAAAAAGCGCCTTGTGAAAGACGAGATGAACGTGTGCCACGTTTCGTACTCTACGATTTCATAGAACAGGAGTGGTTCTAACGTATAAACGATATAACGATCTGCGTACAATGTACCCTGCCGATAAGCCGAGCTAATGACTAATAGTAGGATGTATTGTGATGGAAATTTGCAGCTGATGGTAAGTCGAAACCAGCTAGACCGGCTCTTCAGCTTGCTGAAATCTGGAAAAACCCTCACAAGCAGCTGGCATTCATGAAACGGCCAATATTCTACCTCATTATGGTACGGTACGGAAAAATTTATTAGTCTGAACTAAAAATTTGTATGATTTTCTTAATTGGATACATGTTGTCGGATCAAGGTAGCTTCACTCAGTCTAGTTTATTTACTCTAGGTTTCAGGTATTGTATTCGCATACGTCCTTGTGCTATTCAATGTTACTGTAGTGGCATTCGCTAAAGAAAAGAGCTTTGTCAAGCCCAAACTTACGCTGTGGTTTTATGCAGCGGGTGACCTCGTCGGCAGGCTATTTTCCGGGCAGTTATCCGGTAAGGGCATTAGTATTGTTTTAGTCAAAGGTCTTAAGTTAAAAACAATTTATCCTTTGGGTCGGATTACGACCAGAATCGTTCTAAAACAAAGTTAGTGTATATTTACGAAAGCCATATGTTCCAAATAATAAAAACGTAACTGATACATAGATGCAAACGAGACTTAATAGGTATACGTGTTTCAGTTGTTAATACAGTTGTTGACAAAATTGATTATTTCCTAATAAAGATCTGCGTCGTTGTAGAGGTTTAGAGTAAAACATGTTTTAAACTATGCATTCGGGTTGAGTCTGATGGCTGGTCACCAGCATGAACGTAAGCTGCTAACTTAGGTAGGTACACACGTTGCCATTGTACGGTATAGAAATATAGAGTACTTCAACTTTACACAAGCTAAACGGTTCTAGTAGAAACATTAAAGACTCGGTAGACTCATTTGCAAACGTAGGTTCCATGAAGTCGGGGTAAGTTAGCTAGTTTGAATGCTCGCAGATTACCTACTGAAGATCTAATGAGCGGTTAATGCTCCCACAGTGCCTTATAGGCACATATAATAAGCATATAAGAGTACTTTTAATCTTTTCTTCTACATGTTGCCTTTAGAAAATACAGAACCTACATTGGTGCCAAAATCAACATACAGAGATGCAGGCCTTGTGAAGAACAACTGTGACAGCCACATAATACAAGTAGTAGTCTCTTCATCAGCATGGAGCACTGGATGAAGACCTTTTTTTATACAGCTTATTGTGCGGAGACCGCACGATCCCAGACGATCAAGACCCAAATTCAATGCTGAATCGTATTTTTCAGATCGGGGTTGGCTTCACCGGCGTACCGTAATTGCTTTGGGTTTCTTATTAGGTTCCGTTGCCACCTTCGGCATGACGATCTCTTCGTATCGGGTAGGTCTTTACGTAATGCAATTTTCGCATGCCTCTAATAATGATATAGGGATTATTGTCATACGTAGGATCCTAACCGTTCTAGCATGGTTTATCTTACATTTTTGGGGCTTATTTTCTCGCTTCCGACATAAGATATTCAGCCTCGGCTTCAAGTCTAAGGATATAGGTATTTCATGGTTTTCCATCATGCTTCGTTTCAGGAGGCGTGTTTTGTATTCTGCTTGCTTTTTGGCCTATCGGCAGGCTCAGTGATGATCCTATTTTCTGTGCTTCTTACCGAATATCTCGGATTAGCCAATCTTCCGCTTGCCCTTGGGGTACATTGTCTTGTTAACGGACTGGCTGCTTTACCGCGACATGCGCTTATACGTAAGTATTCATCCTATTTGATGCGTGATCACAGAAAGGACTTTTTTAAGGGATGAGAATGCAAAATGAAAAAAAAAGGGTTTAAAAGTGCTATTTCTTTAATATCAAAGAGAATATCACCTGTCTTATGAATTCAAAAGATGTAAATTTTCAACCACTCGCAGTAGTCGAATTTATGATTGGTTCATATTTTAAGAACTTGTTAAGCTTGATAATTTTGCGATGACATGTGTAAGTAATAGAAATCAATACATTTTTTTAAGTTTGCTTCTAGCGCTCCTCATCGTGAAGTTCTTGCTGCTTACATTGGTACAATGCTGTAATAGGTCACCAAAAGCACATTCGGTCTTTTTACTGTATATATAGAAAGAATATGACTATGGATATCGCATCTAGCTGAAACTGACTGCTTTTTGTGTTCTTCTAGGATTCTTGTCTCAAGATGGCTCGTATTGGCCTCTCTATTTGTTCATGTCGGTCATATCGGTAGTGACTGCTGTCGTGTGGGCACTTCATTGTCTATACATTGATTTTCGATCCCACTTCGGTGTAAAACGAAACCCTTTCGCTGAAGAGTACTATTCACCAAAAGAGATACAATTAGAGAAGAATATCTATGGCGATCGTGAGGATGGCGCCCCGAATACCCTGCAAACAGGATCAGACGCAAATGAAGAAAGATCATTTACGACTGCAAAATCATAGTTGTCATAAGGACCTTAAAGACAATAGTCTAGCGTATAGTTTTTAAACTGGTAGATATCTACAACGGTACGACCTGTTCAGATTACGTGCCTGTAACGTTGGGCCTTCCATATTTTCAATGCTGTAAAAACGATCCGATGGTGTAAATTTTTTTCTGTTATATCGATGGCTGCATTTAACTCCATACAGCACGTACTTGTGCAGAAGTTCGAATTTAAGAGTGACGATTCAGGGTAACTTATGAAAAAAAAAAAAAAAAAAAAGAGCAAAAAAAACATTCGAGTCAAGTCGGGACAGGTCTTCGAGCACTTCAGCACTGATCTGCTACCTCATCTGTTGCGAAAACCGTTTATCGCTGAGCTTAGCTTGTTTTTCGTATAGTCAGAGAGGGAATAGGCAAATATAGCAAAAGTAAAAACAAGTAAATAACAGAACGTTTCATATTAACAAAGATTGCTAGCGTATAATTTATCGTATACGGGCATTTTTGTATATTACTACGAGACGTTCAATCTGGTCAATTTAATTCAGCTATTTGGTATATGCATTTACTTTACGGCGACAATTTATCGGAAACAGTTCTATGATTTGATAACATCCTCTTGTTCTTGCGGCGACTATAACTCGTTAAGAACACGCGCAAGTCTAAAAGTTAAGACATTTCGAATAAGAGGGTGAACGGGAAGCTTTACTCGGCACTCCACAGACTAGCCGATAGATATATATATACACCCTTTGAGCTGAATATATTCCCCCGATTCGCTGAACCTTGACCAAAGGAGCACCCCCCATTGGATGCATTATACATACGTTATACACCATGCGTTTGTTTAGGTGAGCTGTCCGGACTAGAAATACAGTAGAAAACGTGACTGAGGTTGTCGTTAGGTCAGTACTGCGTACCATTATAGCTCACGTATACTCAATATACTGAGAGTGGGTAAAATGATTGAAGGTTTACACATTACTAAATGTGCAACAGTGTGTCATATGTTAGCAGGGTAATGAGAGCTACGATTTTACAAATTGCACTTTGCAATTGTAGACCGTAACGCCGGTTCGATCATGTGTGGCTTAATTGATATTACATACGACTCATCTTTGCATTTAACGATGTTCCCTATTGTCTCATACTGGTTTCATGTATCCCACGAACATATTACTTTTAACAGAAGTGACATACAGGTATACTCAGAAAAAAAAAACACAATGCTCAATTTTAGCCCAATTTATAAATAGCAATTGCTAATTGTGTTTAAATATTTAGATACTTATGTGAAGCAAGGAAGATCTATACATATGCATGCGTACACGTCGCTGGCATCTGGCCTCAAAGTCAAGCTCTGTGCGTATGTCTATGTACACATATGTATGTCATGTACAGTTCTCTCTATTATTATTTATTGGTAAATAACATCTACGAGATCGATACAACGCCCCCAAAGACCATTTTTTTGTTTTTCTTTTTTTTTTCTTTTTTTTTTTTTTTTTTTTTTTGATAGCCTAACGGTTTAACCTTTCATTTTCCTTCGTGCATCCAAACGCAGCTGAAGAACGCATATGGTGAGATACGTAGAATAGTAAAGAGAGGTATCTTTACTTTTTTCGGATATCTTTAGTGCTTTAGGTATGAAAATAGTGTTCATACATAAGATGATGCCGCTGCATGAAAACGAACACAGTAGCATGGAGGAGTCTTAGCCAGAAACATTTTCTATACAGCAGTATATTTCGCTAAAAGGGTAAACCACAAATAGTCGGGTGTATAATTCGTTATATATATCTTCTATTGAAGTTTGGCATGCGAACGTAGTGAAACTGGCTAGAAAACACATTGCGAGATCATACTAAAATAAGTTGAAATTGTTACGATGAATGGGCTGTTCGTTGAGAGAGTAAACCTACCCATATATAAAAAAAAAAAAAAAAAAAAACGAAGACCCAGTTTCCAAATGATCCGACCCTTTTTGTACGACGTTCCGTGTTCGGTACTCAGCCAACTTCCCACTACTATAGACGTTCGACTGTATAGTTATGACGCACGCCTTCGTAGAGGCCTCGTGGAGGTTACAAAGTTATCAGAAAATTGTATTAAAATTACACAGCAATCTTTCGAGCTAAGATTATAGATGAAATTCGTTCTTGAAACAATTTCATGGATAACCTAGAAATACAAATAATTCCAAGATGTTTCATCTGTGGAAAATCAAGCTTATTGATTGATCAAACTATTGCTGATCTCTTTTTCGTGTTCTACTTTTATACATGCGATATTCTATATCCGATAATAATAAATTACGTTTATATAAAAAAAAACCACGTCAAACACCACGAAAGATTACTTATGAAACTGTCGACATTTGGTCAGTCTCCTTTTGTTTCTTCTTTGTAAACTCTTCAAAGCTTGAAATAGATTATCGAACTGAATATAGACTGTTTTCAATATATTGTAGGTAGCTGTGTGCTACGAAATCCATTTGGGACCGTAGATTCAATACGTTCATCGCCGAATTTTTTTACGTGTCACTTTCTTGCATGCTTTCAAATGTGGCGCCGCGGTCACGTGGACCCTCACCACTGTGGCGGGTTCTCGCGAGTTATCAACGAAAAAAGGAATTGTCCGGCGACGGTATTAGAATTGCTTAAAAAATAGTGCCAATAAATACGGGTAGGCGGAAATTCAATAAAAGTGCCTTTCGTGTGAATGATTAGTCAATGGTGAGCCAAATTTCACTTTGTCTGCATAGAAGAAATATAGTACTATCGTTATGGTGTTTGAATACGCTTAAAATAACAATTGAATTTCGACCTCAAGGCACAACACCTAATTAGGACCAAACCCACATCAAGCGTGCCTATCGGCCAATTCAAGATGCGATATTAATTATTTAGCATATTGCACTGACATATAATATTGGCAAAGTTTACATTCACATACGTGTAGATATGTTAATATATTGATTGATAGGTTTACCCATGTTGCTAGCCGAGCGTATAGAGACGTCCTTTTCATGGCGTACCCTTTTCTATTTAAGGACACCCGTCTATCGCCTAATGACCTATAGCTTCAACAACACAAACTAACGATTAATTAATTTACATAAGCCAGATTGAGGTTTTTTGGCTAAGTTCACAGCTAAAGGCAAGAGGCCGAAAAAGAGTGGTCGGTCTCCCGTTGGCATGCAACTGTCTCTATTCACCAAAATTCAAATATTTCATATACTATATACTTTGGGGTCTACTAATTAATGTTTAATTATAAAATTGCTCGAATGTATAAGAGCTCATTGGAAGGCCCAGTTGGAAGGCCGCTATAAAAGCAGTGATAAACGAGAAGGATTAAATGTGTGCTTAAGCTGTTACGAATATAAAATGCGTCCGCAGACCTTATGCATTTGTTATACATTTTCTATCTCATGGGGATTATTTCAGTCAAAAATGGAAGTGCTCTCGTTACGCAAACAGTGAAACCTTTTGAGAGCGTTCATTTGTAAACAGATAAAAACGAGATGATTTATCTGGTGGCATTAAGACGATTTGTTCGAGACGCAGACAGATGAAACTCGAAACTTTTTATTTTTATTGTTTATTATTTTGTATGACAGCATAGTTTGGAGAAATTAGAGTAACAAATATTTAACCTGATAGTAAACATTTAAGATGGAACTTCTCAAATTAAGGAGGTGAATCATCCGTTTCGACTACCATATGGCTGCAACTATTATAGAGCCCTAGTTTGTCTGAAAGCAATATTTCTTCAGTTGCTTTCACGCGTTTTTCGATATTAATAATGTATCGCTCCGAAGCTCTTAGCCTTCAATATGAAATTTCTTTATTATAGGCTCGTGAAAGCTTTTTTTTTTTCGGTATTTACTTGTCACTAGTGGAGAGAGAGAGAGAGAGAGAGAGAGAGAGATCTGCGGATGTTCAAATGATTCGAATTATTTAAATGCAAGTTTTAATTCACACATATGTCGATTTATGGTTCGTAAGTTTATGGGGGTACTAGTTTCTTAGCTAATGGAGCCAGCTGCCGGATTCTGAAGTCTCGAGATATTGTTACCGACTTATTTTTTGGTATCTCATCCCACACTGCTTCAACTAGAAATAATCATTTTCTCTTGCAGTATACGCTGTACATCTGACGTTCAGCAAGAAGCTCGTGATTCTCCAGTAGACGCCATTTTCGGCCAGACCTACTGAATGCGACGATTATACACATTCTGCGCTTTTGGGGAGGACGCTCCAGGGCAAGGGTAACTGGTCCTCGCCTCTTCTTCGCTAGAGAGTGAGGGAAACGCGCGCTGCGACTGGCAGCGTTCAGTCAAGCCATCCTCGGCGCTTCGATTTCTCGAAACGTGCTTCGAGCGCGGCGTCCGTTTGGCGACGAAGCCTTTTGCTTTTAAGAGCGAGAGCGAGCGAGAGAGAGAGAGAGAGAGAACGAGCAAATCTGAATACCTCCGAGAAAGCTGATGTGGGCGCGCCAGGTTCAACGAGTCGTATAAGAACAGCAAGAGCTTAGCTCGACCTTTAAAAACTAACGAACTATCACAATTATTTACAAATTGACACAGCATCACAGATATACTTCTCAACGGCACCGAAGCGTATATGATACTTGTGAAAGTGTTTGAGTATCTTAACGGAACTTTTTAACAGAAAACTTTATTTAATTTCGTGTTTTACAGTGATTAGTGTGTGATATAAGTGGTAAACTACTACGGTGGCAGCAAACGAGTCGTCTACCCGGCTGACTGCATTGCTGTCTACAACAATATTCAGTTCAGGTGATTGGGCTGGGAACCAAAGGGGGCACGTTGCATTTCTTTAATGTCCTGTCAACGGAAATTATTGTTACTGATGTCGTCCTTAACGCTATTATTGTTGGAAATTGGTTATGATAAGGTTTCGTAAGGTTAACGAAAGACAGTGTTCGAACATGTATAGAATAGCTCATTATGCCGTTTGCTATTGATAAATACAAGAAAGAGGAAAAAAAGGCCGCACCTTTTGGTTAAGTTCAATCTAGCTACAGGCCTAGTTGTTTTTTTTTTTTCTCTAATTTCGATCTGCTGGAATGATTATATATTGGTTTTTCCTTTGCGCCTGATGCTAGCTAGCATTATCAGTGGTATCTTCATGTTGCAATTAACGGAACGATGGCGAACTAAGAAGATATTGATGAGAACGTTTATTGGTAGAATCGTATATCATAATCATATGCTAGCTCTCGTCAGCGGTAGGTGAACTGCACATAAAGTAGAAATCCTAACGAGCATTTTTTTTTTTGTAGGCTTAGGCTTTTGTTCAAAATAGGGTTATACGAATTTATAGTAACTAACAAGAATACCTAGTTCCTAGATGAATCTTAGCTGGTCCAATAAACAGCATCCACACGATGCAATATGGGCACGGAAAAAATCCATTTTCATTTTAGCTGATATTAACTAATACGATTATACTTATGTACGAACGACCCAGTTTCGATGATTCTCGCTCGGTCTGCCTCGCAGTCTTGAGGATGATCCGCAAACACGGTTAACACGGCCAAACTTTCGATATGTCATCTTCTCGTTTTTTTTTATGTAAACTACTTGCTACATGCAAACGGCCCCTAAGGAATACATTGACGATCTAGAATATTTAAGCCGTCAATGGTTCAAGGCTGAATACTCACATCAATGATTAAAATGATAGCACATTAAAATTGCCGCCACGGCCATTTATCAAATGCAAGAAAAAACCGGCCATTAAAAATGCAGCCTATAAAATTTTAGTCGCGAGGCAGGTATTCAGAATCAGCAAACAAATACTCAGAGCTCTATATTGATCCTTTCCATCCGAAGCACTGTCCTAATGTTCTTGAATAGGTACAGCGCTAGCTTGCATTTCAAAAGGACCTCCTAGGCCCTAGCTGCATTTCTCACATAGACAATATCCCTAAGTCGTCCTACAATTTGAGGCTCTGCCATGGTGCTAGTCTTTTTTAATGCCAGTTCTGTGTTATACTGGGGATACACTTCCCGCGCCGGCTTCAACAGATACTTGTGTACAACCATTAGATTCCGCTTGTTCACCTAGAACAGACGTGTTCGCGCCGGTTGACCTTCTTCTCATGACGTAGTATTAAATTTAACAGAACTCCCTAATCGATATGTCGTTGTCAAGTCGAGTCCTGCATTTTTTCAAACGTATGCTTCATTATAATTCAAACGAAAAGAAAGTAAAGTGATATATAGGTCTAGGTAATTTCATAGTCGTTATTAAACACAACTACTGCACAAACCATCGCGTGTGTATCTATGATGTGTGTATATGGACGAGGTGCGACATCAATTGCTGGTTCGGCTTCTGCAATACTGCGGCGTATTAAGAGAAATAGTTTGTTGTAGGCTGGGTCGCTACTAGATGTTGATTCATGCCTCCACTGAGGTAGATTTCAGCGATACCTCAGCTGACCACGTCCTTTTATCAAACACATTATGCTGCCTCTACTGTTTAAGGCTTACTGTGACAATTGCTAATAGTCTTCCGTTCGTTTTTACTGAAAATGTTTATTACGCATATCATATCGTCGCTATATAAAGTAAACCTCCTTGGCCAGCTATCTGTCTGGCATACTTATTAATGATATGTTACAACATCGTCCCCAAGACGGTTACGCTTTTCTGTCCACTTTGGTAATTCTGATCCATGGTCTAAGCACACGTTATTGTTTGCAACAACGACAGCTCAGTGCTAGGGCGATTCTCGTTATGTTAGGTAGGCTCACATTGATGCACAAGCAATGGTGGTCCTGATCCCGTACCCGCTCGGCGCACGAATGACTAAATTTAGGGCAACAGCAGCGGCAGAAGCATCAGAGCTAACAGTCAAAAGTGGTCGTCGAAACCTGCGAGAACTTTATGAACTCTTGTGTGTGATATACAAAGGTATTGACTAGCGTATGCTCTATTGCTCCGCTAGCCCATCGCCAAACTTAGTTCTCCATTGGTATTCTTAGCTCTGCGTTTTGTGAATGTGGGGGGCTGGCGGATTCGGGGTTTCATGCTCAAATAGTGCTGTACACTTAAAGACTACTCTCAGTGAAGTCAATGGCCTCCAAGTCTTCGATCTGCAAGCCCTAAAGATAGCTGCCTGTTAACGACAGCGAAATCTGCCACGGACTTACTCACAAAACCTGCAATTTATATATGCTATTGGCCGCTGATGACAATGACGCACCCAGTGTTTAGCACACGGTGGCTGTCCAGTCACCGGTTTCTACTGACGCGGATGCGTCCTGCTACTGAACGTACGAACAATTAGTTGTCTGAAGTTTGAAAACAAGCAGCCTATCATTGTGTTCGGTGCAGGGCTGATTTTAGGCAAAGAAACTACCGGTCAGTGTAGTTCAGTGCATAAGCGGAGGGAACACATCCTTGCTAAACCTCTCATTTCCCTATTGGCTATATAGGATTAGCAGTATGCTATAACTATTCAGCTAGGAAAGGCAGCTACATATTCAAATGGGGTCATCATGAAACGAGCCAATAATGGCTGGAAAGAAGACAAATATGAATCTGGAAAAGTACACACAGCTACGATCAGGACGTCGTTTTTCCATAGTGCTTTCCGTACTGACTTTGGGTACTTGCTAAATTAGCCTCAGCAACTTCACCTATTTACCATTGGTTGCGTGATTCGTAACATTAAATTAGCGAATAATGGATGACAGGTGGGGCGACACGTGTATTTTCTTCAAGCGGGCTAAATTGGAGCTAGATTGGCCAAGCAGGCTACGTTGTGAGTTCGTTAGTTTGTATCCGGTTAGTAACAACAGAATACATAAGCAGGTAAATGTTCTATATCCGAGCTTCAGAGTAAATTAAAGAAAGCACATCCAATCGAAATAGCATGAGTGGTGACGATGTACTTCAAATGATTCATCATCGATCCGAATCAGAGCGCGTACTGCAGGTAGCTAACCTTTGATCGATCCAGCCATGATATTTCAGGAGTAGAGCTGATGACGATTTCAAGGGCCTTCTGTGCGCAGTATTTTGCTGGCGCTGGTCAGAAATAATACGTGATTACCTAGAGTGCAGAACTGTCGGCATAGCGTGCTATAATGACCTGTGATTGAGGTCGAAAACCAATTCGACAAAATTTACCTGCAGTGCGAAGCAGAACTAATTAGAGGTTTGACCTAGAACAAGGTTAGAATATACCGCCGGCGAACATTTCCAAAAAAACGTCAGAACTACAACACTAAAATGAAGCTAGAAGCGAAGGGGCATTTACCGGCTTCCATATTGTGACTAAGAGTAATTTGTATTTTCTAAAGCACTCGATCATAATATGAAAAAATAATATTTATTGCCAGCATACATAGGTGTCCCAAAAAATGTAGACACGGTTCGAATCTTTCAGTTCTTCTTCATATATCTAAAAATTCGCAAAGGGTGCGCAACTTTTCGTCCTGGCGCAGACGCTTGTACCGATTGCTGTTATGGTCGATGCTGGTGGCTAACGAGCCTTTCGTTTATCGTGTTGCATTTAGGCGGCTCTTAGACTTCCGCTTTTATACTGTAAACTTTATCTAAAAGACTATCTTTCTAGAAAGACATTCGGATCCGCGTATTCTACCGGGCCTTTTCGATCAACCTATTTGTCTATTTTCGGTTCTCGCCTTATGACAGCGGTGAACATGCGCTCTGTCCTTTGTTTCTCGAGTTCTACGTACGGTATAGGGCGTTATGATTCCATCAGACGGCTGGCGCACTCCCAGCACGAAACAATGTCTACCTGTGCCCAAGTTCGAACCTAGACCACAACGTCTCTTTAAGATTAGGAGGCAAATACGTTACTTACTAAGCTATCGCGGGGCTTAGTGCTGTTAGGAGTAAAGTTATCATTTTTCCTAAAATCTTCCCGCCTGTATGGTAAAACAGATTCTTGAAATACAGTATATATATTTTTTATAGTGTATATAACACCCTGTATTTATTAGGTTATGCATAGAAATACCTGTGAGCACATGCATAGGTGCAAACCTATTAGTATTATTATTACAACGGGATTCATGTAAATGTCGATTTATTGAAAAGTATTTAAATAATATTATCTACAGTGTCAATTCCATGCCTTGGTGTCCTGGCATCAGTTGATCAACAGGATAGAAGCTTCGTGTCATTGATTTAAACTGGACGCACTGTAAAATTAAGAGAAATTCGTCGTATACTTTCCACTAAACTCTTATCAATCCTTGTTCATTTATAGATTTCATAGACGTCTCTTATTATAAAATATTTCTTATGTCTGATTGGTTATCTTCAATTATTTATTTGTTGGGCACAGCGAGTATCTTGACGCTGACACAGTTATCTTCGAAGCCTTACTGCCGCCGTGAGTCATGGAACCGATGGCGCCATGAGGTGGCTCATTGGCTAAAAGCTAACACTGTATGTACCCCACCCATACGACAACAATATAGCTAGTTTTCTATATATATATATGTATATATACAATATATAGTTCCTGTTTGTTTGCGACAAGCTCTACCCTCAGTAAACCTCCGTGACAGGCCTAGAGATTGTGGCTTGCTTCGACAACGTTCTGCATGACGCTGTTCGTTACATGGGCGCCAAATAGGAAAAAGTATAAGAAGTAAACCCAGTCACGCCATTCTTAACCTAATTGCTGCGTTACAAACGACCAGCGAAATCTAATATGGCCTAGGAATTATACGTTAATTCCTTTAGCCAATTGTCAATTATACGTGCACAACTGAAATGTCCGATAGCGT